GAACTCCATCTTAGACCACCCTTCTAAACCCTTTTCAATAAATATTTATGGAACATCTACTATGCACTAGGCCTGGCATTCAGTGCAGGAGATACACAGGCTCCCCATGGTTCCAGCTCTCATAGAAGCTACTGTGGCCATCGATAAGGGTAACAAAGACAAAGCACGAGGACCTATGGAATCACATTACTCAAATCTGGGGGTCAAGAAAAGCTCCCTGGAGGAAGTGATAGAGAAATTCCTCTCGGGTCTCAGCATCAGGAAGATCTGGGTATCTATGGGGCTCCAGCTGGGTTCTAGCTGAGAGTAGAATGGAAGACAAGCTGCTCAGTTTCAGGCCTCCCTACTGCTTGGGAGGCTGGGGTTCAGTGACTGTGCAATGAGGCATCAAGCCAGCCAGGTGGGTCTGGAAGGGGTGGCAGATGTGTCAAAAGCATTAAGACTTCCCAAACTCCTCAGGCTTTGTGGAGCCTAACCCTTTGTTAGGTTTAGCCCCTTTTGGGGCTCCTCCATAGTGCTTGTCTCCCCCAGGACCCACTAGATGCCCAGGGCAGTGTGATACTCTGACCCTCAACCAGGAGTACCCAGAGTTGCCTTCCCCTACCCCTGCTACTCTCCTGGAAAATGGCCTGTCAAAGGCAAGAAGCTGCATTTCAGAGGGTCTAGTGTTCAGGATGCAGTGATAACATCTGCAGTTTTGACCTTGAAACCCTCCTGTAAATTTGTTCAGTGACACTGGTTCAGTGACACTCCCAGGGGTTAGAATGACCCTAATAACTTCTCTGCCCTGCCCCTTGAGAGACTCCAGTCTAGACACCTGTACACCACCCACCCAGGTCACACCTCATCTTTTCTGGGGCAGCAAAGACAAACAGTCTCACAGGCCGCCTAGGTCAGGAAGGGGTTGCCCCCTGGCACACAGAACCAGGAAAGAATTGGCTGATTCTCTATTCATTCATCACCACTGATCCCGTCTCAGGCTACCTGGTGGAGACAGATCAGGAGAAATAGCTCTAGGTGTTACATCAGACATCTGTGCTGCTGGGCACAGTGGAAGAAATAATGAGCCACCTAGGTGGTGAAGAGTAGGAGTTAGGAAGCTTTTAGGAAAAGGAGGCCCGAACTATGTCACAAAAGATATATTAATTGGTCTTTCCCAGATAGTCAGAAAAGAGAAAGGTGTCACCACTGCCCAGCCTGGAGAAATGAAATTATCTGCCCTCTTCTAGAAGCAGGCTGGAGCCTGGAGCTGGGGGAAGATAAGGGAGAAGGGAAACAAAGGCAGACGGAACTGGAGGGGCTGGCTCCGGCCAGGCCATGGAAGACCTCGCAGTCAGCTTCAAGCTTGTGAACTTCACTCTGAGGGCAATGTGGAGGCAGCCATTAAAGGATTTCAGTAAAAGACAAGGAACTTCACCTCCAGGATCTTCCTCCCCCAAACCCATAACCCAAATCTAATTATGAGAAAAACACCAGATGAGCCCAAATTTTAGGAATATATTACAAAATACCTAACCAGTACTCCCAGAACTCTCAAGATCAGTGAAAACAAGTCTGAGAAACTGTCAGACCAGAGGAAGCTAAAGAGGATGATGACTAAATGCAGTGTGAGACCTAGAAGGGATTCTGAAACAGAGAAAAGACATCAGGGGAAAATTAGAATTCAAATCTAAATTAAGTGGGATGTTTAGTTAATAGTAATATACCATACATCCATACAATGGAATATTATTCAACAATAAAAAAGCTAAAATACTGTTACACGTTAGAATATTAAAAACATGCTAACTGCAAGAAGCAGACACATAAGACACAAAAGACCACATATTGTATGACTCCATTTGTATGAAATGTCCAGAATAGACAAATCTAGAGAGAGGAAGTAAATTAGTGGTTCCCAGAGACTGGAGGATAAGGTGGGCATGGGGAGTGATGGGAACTGCTAATGGGTGGGATTGCTCTTGGGGTAAGCAAAAATGTTCTAAAACTGATGATTGCACAACAATGAATATATTAAAAGCCACTGACTGACTTGTTCACTTTTTTAAAAAATATATCTCTATTGATTTCAGAGAGAGGGAGAGGGAAAAAGTCATGGATCAGCTGCCTCCTGCAGGCCCTCGATTGGGGATCGAGCCCACAACCCAGGCATGTGCCCTGACCGGGAATCAAACCTCGATCTCCTGGATCCTAGGTCGATGCTCAACAGCTAAGCTAAGCCCAGCTGGGCTGACTTGTTCACTTTAAATGGGTGGATAGCTCAGTAACTGTTAAAAATAGTAACGATGGTTCTTTCGTAACACGTACCATTGAAAGATGTAAATAGGGGAATCTGAGTGAACTGAGTGCCCGGGTTTCGGGCTGTGGAGGCAGCTGATCAATGACTCATCATTGATGTTTCTCACTCTCCCTCTCCCTTCCTCTCTCTGCAATCAATAAAAATATATATATATTTAAAGTTTCCGCAATAGCCCAGCCGGGTATGGCTCAGCGGTCGAGTATCAACCTAGGATCCAGGTGATCGGGGATCGATTCCCAGTCAGGGCACATGCCCGGTTGCGGGCTAGGCAGCCGATCAGTGACTCTTATCATTGATGTTTCTATCTCTCTCTCTCCCCCTCCTTTCCTCTCTCTGAAATTAAGATTAAAAAAAAAAAGTTTCTGCAATAAATATTACCATGTGCAGTGTTTCTTAAATATAACCATGTTTAGTGTTTAAAAAAAGAAATCCAAAATTATTTTCACTGGGCTAAATCCTTTTAGTAGGACTGCATTTCTTTGTGGAGACTGGAAAGAATCTGTCTTCTTGCCTTTTCCAGCTTCTACAGGCCACTGCATTCCTTGACACATGGCCCCTCCATCTTCAAAGCAACATCTTCACCTCCCTCTCACTCTGACCCTCCTGACTCCCTTTCACTTCATAGGACCCTTATGATTACATTGGGCCCACCTTGATTATCCATGATAATCTCCCCATCTCAAAATCATTGATCATTTCTGCAAAGTCCCTTTTGCCATGTAAGATCACATATTCACAGGTTGAGGTGGAGGATGTGGACATCTTTGTGGGGCCATTATTCTGCCCCTACAAGGTGTCATCATGGAGGTGAACACAGGAATAGGCTGAGGGGGAGACTGAGACACCTGTGAGACATCCAGGGGAGCTGTCCCTTGGCTTCCATCTAGTCACCAAACACTAAGCACCTCCCAGGAGTTAGGCACTGGGGATATAAAGGTAAAACTGTATTTCATTGGTCCTAAGAGGCCTGTTTTCATCTCTGAATATTCCTGAAATCAGGACACACCTTTTTTAAAAAACAAACACGTTTTTATTGATTTCAGAGAGAGGAAGGGAGAGATAGAAACATCAATGATGAATCATCGTTCAGCTGCCTCCTGCACACACCCTGCTGGGGATCAAGCCCACAACCCAGGCATGTGCCATGACCGGGAATCCAACCGTGATGTCCTGGTTCATAGGACGATGCTCAACCACTAAGCCATGCTGGCTGGGTAGGATGCACCTTTTAATCTGTAATATCTTACAACTATAACTGGTAGGGTTTCCTTTCTTAATGAAACAAAGTAAGCTATCTTACAACCAAAGGCATCCTGGAGTCAATGACAACCAGGTCTGGCTTAGCACTAGAGTGGGTCTGGCTATTATAGAAAATGGAGGCCTCACTGGAACATCAGGTATCTGTCCTAACCCATCTTTCCTAGTGCCTGGCCTGGCCCCTTCCACCCTGTCCCATGGCTCTGGTGCTCAGCTCTCTTGTAACTAACAAACTCCACCAGAGCCCTGGCCACACACATGCTCAGCTATGCTACCACAACAGGGTCTAGGAGCTGATTCCTCCCCACTTGTAACCTGTCTTGGGAGTCAGGCCCTGTGTTTCTCCACCTGGACGCACATTGGAAACACCTGGGAACTCTTGACAGACCTACCTCCAGGCCACTACCTAGATCAATTCATTCAGATTCTGAGTAGTAATTGTACAGTTCCCCATGAGATCCCAATGACCAGCCAAGATGGAAAAGTGGAGGAATCACCCTAACTTGATGCAAGTGAGACCTAAGGCAGCACTAATGGGATGGGGCGAGGGGGTGTCAATTATACCTGTCTACCTACCTCCCCATCCTCCTCATCCCTAACTCTGAATTCCTGAAAGGGAACCAGACCAGTTATCTCAGTTCCCTCAAGGCATTAGCCCTGCGCCAGGAACACTATGGGAGCTCAGGGAATGCAAGCTTCAGAGCCTCAAATTCAAGGCAGAAAATAACTGGTACCAAGAAAGGTCTGGGAAAGGAGCCCACTGGGTCTGGGCCAGCCCTCTGATTGACTGCAACCTCCAGTGAGGCACTGCTCCTCTCAGTGTCTGTTCAATGGACAGTTGCCCCAGGTGGCCTTAAAGGGTTCTTCAAGTGCCAACGCTGTCCGCACTTCACCTAAGGAGCCTGAGACAGTGGGGAGCCAGTGAATACCAGGCTTCCTGCTCACCCCCAACAGATGTCCCAGCTCTTCAAGGCCTGAAATCTCCACTTCTGGGGCTCTATCCTATACTGGCTGCAAGGACAGAGAGTCTAAGGTCCTAAAAGCCAAAGACCTAAGAACAGCAAAACAGGAACCCCCAATATTGGAGAATGTGTGAGTGAAGGTGAGCAGAGTCCAGGTGGGGAGGCCACAGGCCACCTGACAGCCCTGGCTCTGCCCCTAGGAGTGGGAAACAAAGATGAGATGGTTCAAGGGACCAGAAACTCCCAAAGAGAAACTTCACAAGGGAACACTCAAGGATAGAGGCAAATCCAAAGGGGCTGTGGAGGTCCCTGGCTTCTGGCCATCAGCACAGCCAAGGACCTAATACATGACTAAAGGCTTTTATTGGGAAAGGAAAACTGACTGAAAAGTGGCCCCCAATATCCTCACTGCCTGAGCAGCTGGGGCCTCCTCCAGAGTCCAGGAAAGAAAAGGCCACCAAATTGGCCCTCAGAAGGCTCACGTGTAGAGGTCAAAGTCAATTCGTTTGGAGTTGTAGAACTGTCCACCAGGGGGGTCCAGCTTCCGGCAATAAACACCATCAGGGAAGTAGCCTTCATTCACCCAGGTCTGCAGAAAAGAGGGCAGAACTGGAGGAGGACTGATGGGTTGAGGGCTGGGAGGGGAAAGAAGAGGCAGAATGGGGCTTACCTGCATCTGGGTGCTGGTGAAAGGCCCGTACAGCTCAGCATCACCTGTGTTCTCCCACTTATATTCCCACATCACATCCTCCAGACCATCTCCTGGCAACTCTGCTTCTAAAATAACAGGCAAAGTGACTTGGGCTTCAAGTGCCCTGCCTCTGCCCACAACACTCCCCCTTCCCCCACCGCCCTTAAACCTCACCTCCTCTCTGGACAGGGGTTGGGGTCTCCAGCTCTCCCTCTGCCACTTCCTCAGCAAACATGTCCAGAGATGGTTGGGGTATGGGGTCAGGGGGTCCCTGGGTCCGGCACCCCAAACCCTTCAGCTGCATGGCCAACCGTTCTCTTGTCTCCTGATAAACACCAAGGTTGCCCCGAGCCACCATCTGGTCGGCCAAACCACATAGCCGGTCCAAGCGCTGGGGGGAACTGGGCCGCCCAGGCCCCTTACTATTATCCCCTTTGCCTCCTCCTCTGGCCCCTAGACGCCTCAGCGCCCCAGCCACTGTCTCTCTCGGCAACAGGAGTTCCAGAAGGCCCTCCAGGAGGGCTTGGGCACTCATTGGTGTCTGGCCAAGGCTGTCCTCCTCATCTGAGTCTGACAGTGAGCCCTGATCAGGTGGCCGCTCCCTGATCTTCACCTGTAATGTGAAAATAGGGGGGTTATTTCCTATAAACTGCCAGCAGGGCCCAAGCACTTGCTGCCTCCAGGCCCCAGCCACACCAACTCAAGCCACACCCAGTCAATGTTGTCCAGCCAGCTGTCTCGGATCTGAGCGTCCCGGTTCAAGAAGTAGTTGCCATCAGCATCAAAGTGGCCTTCTTCCATCTCTTCCTGTAGGTTGAAGGGTGTGATCCGTACCCCTCCCTCACTGGGGAGTGTGGCTGCTTCCTGACCTGCACCAAAGACACAGGTATCCATGCTAGGCATGCAACAAAGAGACGAGGCCTCCTCGGTCTACATTCCCAGAAGCCCATCTCTTCCCCCAGCAGAGGGTCAATTCCCAGGTACAGCTCACCTTCCACGTCCTCTGAGGCTAGGATGTCATATTTGCTGGACCCCTCCTCCTCATCCTCCTCATCGCTGTCCAAAGAATGTTTGCCTTTGAAGCGGCTCCCAGGACCTCCTGTCCCAGCCGCAGCGTCCACCAGCTGTGAGCAGGAGCCAGACAGTCCACAGATGCAGGTTACTGGTTATTGAAGGGAACCAAAGTTTTGCCACCCTGAAGCTGCCTTTTTGAAATATTAAACTGTTTATTAAGGGACAAGACTCAGCCTGATCAGGCGTGGCTCGGCGGTTGAGCATCCACCTAGGATCCAGGAGATTGAGGTTCGATTCCTGGTCAGGGCACATGCCCAGGGTTGCACGCTCGATCTCCAGTAGAGGGCATGCAGGAGGCAGCCGATCAATGTCTCACCATTGATGTTTCTATCTCTCTCTCCCTTGCTCTCTCTAAAATCAACAAAACTATATTTAAAAAAAAAGAAGAAAGCTCAGAATCTTTGACCCTCCCCACTTTACTACCCAAGAGATTCAGACAGAAAAACCCACTACAGGAAGGAAATCATAGAATGTTCACCTCAGCCTAATTTGAATTAAGTATGGTAAACAAGAGGACTTCAGGCAGGAGCCTCTTAGCTAGATACTCCCAGTGACTTGTTGTTTGAGTTGCCTAGCAAGAATCTGCCTACTATGTATGTTCCACTCTTCTTCAACGACATGTAAATTGCACAATTCTAACTTCTAAAAACTAAGACCCCCATTCCCCACCTTTACTCCCTTGTCCAAAATATTATATATACCTAATGTTGCCTCACTGTCTTTGGAATTTTCATGCTTATGTGAATTTCCCATGTGCATGTATTAAAATTTTATTTTCCCCTGTTAATCTGTTAATTTGATTATTGGCCCACCTAGAACTTAGAAGGTGGGAGGAAAAGTATTTTTTTTCTTAGCACCCACACTATTCCTCAAAATGCTCTATGATCTGGACTCAGTCTGAAAATCCTCCAAACCCATTCCTGAGAGCGTGGTAAAGCTAGCCCTTTCTTTGTCCCCAAAGCTTTCCCTCGTCTGGCTTCTAATTCTTTTTTGTTTCCCCTCACTGTTCCCCAGAACACAGTAGTAGGCCTTCTCACCTTCTTCTTGGGAACACTGATTTCATCTTCATCATCCTCATTCCCCACGCCTTGGAAGGTCACTTTCCTCTTTGGCATGACTGGAAAGAAGGGCCTTCCCCAAACAAGCTGAGGGAAAGGGTGCAGATTAAGGGAACTGAGAGAGGAGAACACTCATCGCGAGAGGGACGTCAGCTCAGCAAGCATTTTCCCAGGTACGTACTAGATCCAGTACGTGAGGGGAAGGAGCACGGAATCAGGGGCCGAAAGGGGAGTTGGCAGCCAAGAGGCCCTCGGGACTTGGGTTGGCATCCGGCATCCAAAAGTGTTGCTGGAGCAGGGTCCGAGAGGTGGACGCACGGAGGAGCTCCCACAGGCACCCCACCCTTGACGAAAGGAGAGCGGCTGCCCCAGGTGACCATCACATTCCGGGCCCCAGCAGTCCTGGACGCGGCGCGGGTTCGCGGCCGACGCCCGCTCCTCCACCCCCAGCTCCCTCGGATCCCGTGAGGCCCTGACAGACCCAGGACTTAGCGCCGTGGCCGCCCCGCTCCTCCCTGCGCCGAACTCCCAGCTCCGCTGGCTGACCCCCAACTGTCCCGGGCTACGTGTACAAATTAGAGAAGCGGCAGAGCCAAGGGAATTCGAGCAGCCCCACCGGTGCCCGCTCACCTAAGGACCCAAGAAAGGCTGGCAAAGGAAAAGCGAGGGGCTTTCGCCAGGACTACATCCGGGGCACTGGGCCGCCATCACCCGGAAGAGGACGGCCGAAAATGCCACCGGAGGCCGGAAGTGGCTTCGCTCCGGTGCGAGACTAACAGGAAGAGCGAGTGGGAGTACAGGCTGAGCCGGGAGAGACACCCCCCTCACAGAAGTGTCGGAGCTGCTTGGGGTGACTAGGGCGAGAAGACGGGACCTATGAACACTTGGACCCTCACCGGACGAGAGGGATGGCCCCTCGTGGTTTTGATTCCCTCCCACAGCAGTAGAGGCTGAAAGTGGAGCGCACTCTATTTAAGAGGCGCCCAGGATCACAGTGGAGAGCAGAATCCAAGCAAAGCCAATGGGTTCCTGCCCTAAGTTACCCTTTCTAAGGTTGCGTCCTTTCCCCAGGGCCGGCCAAAGGCTCTGCGCCCCTCACCATCTTATTGAAAGTCCTTCTTTCCCACTCTCAGAGCCCGGTTGTCTGTCCTCTCCTAGACCGGGACAGTTTTGTTCCTCCCCCTGAGGGGTAAGTTCCGTTCCCTTGATGATCCGCCGCGAGACCCCCGACTGCTATGGGGCACCTTCCGGACTCAGCTCCCTTTAGGACCCAGGGGAAATCATTTACCCCACCCCTATCTCTTGGGCTAGTTCCGTTTCTGAAGTGGAAAGGGCCTTCGCAGGAGAGGTGGCAGTGGCACCTGTGCCCAGTACCCTGGCCGAACCCCTTGTGCCCTGATCTCAGGTAGGCCTGGAAAAGGGCACCAGAGCCTCGCTCTCCAACCACAGCTGCAGACTAAAGCCCCTATCTTAGCAAACAGGCTCAGTGGCCCCTACCCAGGTTCTGTAGGGGTGAGGAACAAGCTGTAGGGACAAGACCTCTAGCTTTTGAGGACACTCAGAGTCTGAATCCGACTAGCCTAACTGGTGCCACAGGAGCGCAGCATGGAGGTCCCCAGAGTAACAAGATGGACCACCCCTCCTCTCTACAGATTGTACTACCATGAAACTGCACCAAAAGTCCGTGCTCAGTTTCTTCCGTGGTTACAGAACACAGGTTCCAGACCTGGAGGGAATGTTGCTAAAGGAGGGGGGCCAAAATACCAGCTACCAGTGTCTCTGGTTCATCCTCCTAGGAAACCTCTTCTACCAAGAGCACCAGGCAGACAGCTCGCCCCTAGGCCTCATCCTGTTAGAGAACTGCCAGGTGGAGCAACGCCTTTGGGCCACAGAACCTTATGCCTTACCATCCTGGCCCCTGGGGTAGAGGGAACAGAAAGTAGGGAGGCCCATAAACTGGCAGCAAAAAACCAAGAGCTGGGAACCTGGCTGTGGGCTCAGGCTAGGGTGAGCTGGAGGCAGCTGGCTGTGCTACTACCCTCACCACCCCCCCAGAGGCCCAGTACCACAGCTGTGCCAGGCAGCTGACCAAGAGCCCAGCTCACCCCCCCCCCATC